TCCAATGAAAGATGGGTAGTTCCAAATAAAACATCTCTCGGACAAACGAATTTTCCAAATTTTCTGATCTTAAATTATCGACGTTATCGGGTAAAGAAACGCCAGGAGGGAAAAAGATTTAAAACCAAACGGCTCATTAATGTCCAATAAAAAAAACACCATCCCACGGCATCCTCCACAACCAGTGGAAAATTATTCAAAGTTTCGAGTCATGCGCGAATAAAAACAAACGTATACTTACCAGCCTCGAGTTTTTTTAAACCGCCGTATTCAGCCGAAAAGAGAAAAAGCAGTCGCAATGAGTGTCAGCGGGAAATTAACAATCGCTTCGTCAATCACGACCGTTTGTTTCCTACCTTCTCCCCCACTCAGAGCTCACCTTTTGTCGCTTGACGCTCTTTTTTAACCCTTCGACCCTCGATCGAGCGACAAAACGACCGATCAATCATTTTGGAAATCCAAGCGAAATTCGAACACTTTTCGAGGCTTAGATATAATATATGATAATACGTATACAACTTACCATTGCTGAAAAATCAGCGGTTCTCCGACTATTGTACGACGACACCGGCGCGCTGAGACATATTGATTTTGGAATACATTGCGATTTGTGATGAGGAAAAAAAAAGTCATCAGCAATAAGTTACGATGGTGCCGTAGCTGACAAAGCGTAAACGTCATTTTTACCATAGCTTCGTGGCAATTTTTTTTTTTTCTAGCAGAAAAATTCATCTCAATCAGCCAGCTTTCCTATTGTTCATCGGGAAACGGCAAAAACTCGTTTTACGAAATAGATTAAACCCAGATGGCGGATGGTTATTGTGCATGATCATGCACTAGAGTGAGCTCGAGATTTTTCGAACTACCGATATAATATTGTACGGGATGGGCTTGTACCCTCCGTGCCTCCGGCCAACCGTACCCTCGCAGCATCGGTATAAAAGCAACGTTGATGCTTCAAGACATCTATATATACACGGGCTGTTGTTGTTGATTTTGACGTAATTCATTCCGTGGCACAAGTAAGTGCTCTCTATCGGAAACCATTCGGGGGAGGCCCGAGGCTGAATAACACAGCGCCGATCGAGCGGTTACCGGGGTTTTGAAAATTTGCAGTATATGCAAAGTACCTACGAGAGCAAACAAATCCGGCCCCCCTCACCCCGCGTGCGATATGAGAGATCCCCTTGAGGGGGTGCTCACGTAATGTTTTATAGGCAACCGTAGCTGGGAGAAAAGAGGAGGGAGTAGCGATCGGTTTTATCGACTTTATCATCGTGTACCTGGTAGCGGCACTTGCCGAGAGAGCATCACGTGCACGCGGAGCAGTGCGACCTATATGCATGATGTACCTATCTTACCTGTAGGGCGAAATCGCGTTCACGGCTATTTGCACGCAAATGTCTCGGACGGAAGCTCCGCGGAAGCCTATATGTGTATATAATCTCGCTGAGCTGCTCTTGCTGCTGTCGACTTGTTTGTCGTTTGTCGATGCTGGTTGGGTATTTAAAGAAACAGACTCGATTGGGGTGGCTGATGGTTCAGATTAATCATTTTTACTTTAATTTTTTTACTGGTGTATTATTTACAATGTGAGGAAATTCAAAATACTTTGTAACTCTTTGCGAACAACTGGTTCATTGATTTCTTTGAGAAAATTATAGTTTTACATAGTTTAAAAAACCTTTCGATATCCTCTGGTACATAAAATAATAATACTGACACAAATAAAAATAAATTTCTGTTAATTAGCTGCTTTTTTAGTTCAAATCCGGTAGTTTCACGCTTGATTTAGAAAGTTCCTCGATCGTTAAGTGGACATAGCAGTCGGAATGGCTCATCACGGGGAACAATTTTATTTTCGCCAATAAAAAATGAGTTGGTTTTAAAACAGCCCACGTGAACTATACATCAACAATCGAGGGAAACGAATTGTTTATTCGAGCATTAATATAAAATTGCACTCGTCCGATAATCAATAGGGCATATCGGTACGAGCAGAAATGGTGCGCCCCCCAGGAAGTTTTTTCAAAATCATTTCCCTTCGGTGCGTTCGAATAAAAATTGCTCGTTCGATATACTTTCCACTCACGCGAGTGCGTCTCTGGTAAGTAGATGTATACATTCTTTTTCCACGATCTCTCACGCACCCATAGCGACCAACAGGAGTCGAAAGCCCGCGAGAGTTTTCTTCATTATTTTTTCGCGAAGCCCGACGAATCGTAAGGGGAGATGGAGGTAATAAACCTACGGGCGCACAATAGAATCTTTGAGAGAGGGTGAATTTTTTTTTTCCCCCTTTTTTTCTCTTATTTTCAATTATAGGCATGTATACATGATGCTCTGCAGGCCTGCATCGTGAAATAGGGCGGCGCGAAGTTTATTGCTCGAATAAATCACAAATGAGGAAAATCCTTCAACTTTTCGAGCATTTCGCAAAAGTTTTTATTACTCTCCCCCCCCCCGGAAATTTTCACTTTGCGCCCATTGTGTATGAAAATGATTCACGCGACGCGTGCGTAATTCGCGCAATTACACGCGCAACTTTCCTCAAATCTGTGTCAAGTACAGTCGAAAAAATAAAAAGCCTTGGTTCAAAAAAGTTCGCAAAATAACATTATGGATTTTGGAAAGGATTGGAAAAGCAACCACTGCCACACACACACACACGTGTATTGAGATGGGTGTTTCCAAAAGTGCAGTAGCTATGGATGCTTTTCGAAAGACCACTTGTTTGAAAAAAAGGAAGACCAAGAGAGTGCAGGGAGATGGTAGAGAGGAATGGATGGGAGTGTACACGGGGGAGGTGGCTGAGTGGAAGGCAAGAGGTAGCTGTATGTATAGCTCGGACGGCTTTCACGGGCTCGTGAGCCGAAAGAGCCGCTCGTATACGGGAGGATCTCCTTGACCGGCGGTCAGGTCGGACTCTGTGCTCCGCTCTCTTTCTCCGAGTGCCACGAGTACGTATAGGTATACAGGAGAGGGGGCGGGCATGGGTATAAGAAGGGGCCAGGAGCTTTTACGGGACGAAGAACACCGTCGCTATGTGTAAACCATGAAGCCGGCCAACTCTCTCTCTCTCTCTGTACCTATGTATACGTGCGGTAAGTACGGTACATGTGTGTATACACCTATATATTTTATATACGTGTGCGCGCGTAGCAGTAAGGATCCTTTTTACGAGGACGCCGAGAGACGGAGAGCTTTCGTGTGTCGCCGAATCGGGAATTCGCTCCTTTACTTTCATTCGGAGCTTCTTCTGCCTTTCTATTCTTCCTTCCCGCTTCCCCCGATAAGTAGGTAAGGCTTCCACCAAATGGACGGGGGACTGAGTTTCGCACGTAATTTCACCCGCAGACGGAGAAAGAATAGCTGAATTTAATTCCACTGTGAAAGAAAAAAAAAAAAAAAAAAAAGCTCTGCTGCAGGGTATACGCCAACCATACCGCACACCATATACACCGTAGGTAAGGCGATGAGAGAGACTGTCTCTCCGTGATTTTTTTCCTCCCCTGCGCGAGGCGGATAACGTATATACTTTGGATGGATGGGACGCAGCGGCGAACATACAGAATGTGTGCTCACCGAGCTGGAAGGAAAAAAATCGGTGGTCCCTCCCTCCTACTCCGGCAACTTGACGAAAAATTCGTTACCATTATCCTCACACCCCGAGGTCTGTCCCATGTGTAACCTTACATATACCTAACTCGCAATTATTCAAAACAGAGCGAGTCTCCAACTCAAACATCAGACTCGAGAAGAGCAGCCGCACACGCGCTCAAAGCGGTTGAAACGTGCTCTACGAGGGTTTAACGGTGCAAGTCTGTTATAGGTACACGGTTCCGCAACACTTGCATATTTATCGAGCAGCATGATATATAGGTACAGAACGTGGAAATTGGCAAGCAAGGACCTCTTCAACGTCACTTCCTTGCAGGATAGAGGAGCAGGAAGCGTCACTTTGGAGGTATAGGTGGGTAATGCCGAGAGAGAGAGAGAGAGAGCCTGATTAGATTTGTGTCGCGACCAGTGGGTCAATCGGTCCTCCTCTCCTGGTGCACGGCCACTTGTCGCGCGCTCTGTATAAGCCTCGTCCTCCTCCTCCTCCCGCCGTCCGTTGCTGTCCGTGACGTTGCCCTGTCTTCTTGACCCCCTTTCGGACGCTGTCCTGTGCACCCAGTACAGCCCTCCGGGGATAATCCAATTGACCCTCGAAACTCGTTACGACCGATCGACGAACTTTGAGATCGGCTTGCCCCTACCTATATATACCCCGTGACGTTGTTAACCGCGGCCATTGTCTCGGGCGACGGAGCTAATGGCTTTCGTGGCTTATCGGCATCTCAAGGATTCCGCGCTAATTGCCCGTATCATCGTTCCTCAAGTGAGGGGGGGGGGAGGGAAGAAAATAAAATGAAAATAAAGGAAAACGCTATACCGTCTGCCCAACTACACCGCTGTCGTTAAGCTGCCCGTGTCAATCGAACCCGAGCGATGATGAATTATACAACCGAGAGGAGCAATAGAGCCGAGCTTACGACGAGAGATAGCATATCCTCTTTGATGTTGGAGGAGGGGAAGGGAGAGAAAAATGATCGACCATCGGCCGGGTGATGGGTCGATATTTGGGAAGCGCCCCCGTCGTAATTGCACCGGTAATAGGCCTTCCTGCTCCGGTTTCAAGTGATATTGGGGAATGAGCTCGTCACCGTTTCCGTGCAGGTACAGGTAATTCATGTGGGCGCGTTTGAACGCACCGCAATTGATCCAGGGTAACGCCTCCGTGGAAGCCACTGCCTTATAATATGCATTTCGATTTTTTCGGTGCGGGTTAACGTTGCGATACCTCACTGCAAGAAATACAGTTTGACAACTTTGAAACCATTACTGCTTAGGGGATTCACTTATTTGTTTGAAAAATAATCGAGCAAATAGTATCATTTTTTTATATTAAAATAAAGGGTTCGATTAACAAGGTTTGCTGAAAGAAATTACTTATCTTGTGTTATCATTCATGTTTATTCTACTATCAACTTAGAGCTACAACAACGGTTTTCATACAACTCTATGACGTTCGGATTTATTTTTCAGCAAATATTGCTACATCAATCAACAGTTTCAGTCGTGAAACATTTTATGTATCGTTGTTCCATTTTACATGGACAAAATCATTTTACAAATTGTTTATACATTTTCCTTTTTTTTTTTTTTTTTTTCATTATTATTCAATCAACGAATAACAAAAACGAGCAGAAAATATTTGTTTGTTTACGTGAAATAGTACACGTTAGTCATTTCGAAATATTTATACAAAAAACAAATAACTTAGACGTAAAAAATTAAACCACGATCTCTTCGATTAACGAGAAAGTCTTATTTTTCATACGTTAAAGTTCTTGCAAAACGGTTTTAATCTCGTGTAGAAAATCTAGCGTCGGGTAAAAATTTGTTGAACATTTTTTCAAATTAGCGGCACAAAAAAGGCACCTACCAAATCATCGGTCCAATCCAACATCCTTAAAAACCGCACCTATTTTTTTTAAAAAAAAAAAGGTTCGAGTAATTTCATCAACAAAGATAATTTTTCATTTTTAGTATATTGCCGATTAATTTTTTTCAACAAGATTGGCCAATTTTGAGATCAACTCGAATTTAAATCTACCAAAAGCCGATGGTGTTTCGTTAAAAATTGATTTTACTAATATCCTAATTATAATTTTTTTTTTTTTATTTGTACAAATCAACGTTGACGATGATATTTACTAAAATTTATCTCAGCAGGCAATTTGCATGATATAAATATTAAAAATCAACAATAACTAAATTTCCCTAGGAGTTCTTGAAAAATGTCCACAGCAACGACTACTACATTTTTGAAAATCCGAAATAATACCAAGACGACACTTGACAGGTGATAACGCACAAAAAGCTCATGTTACTCGATCGAAAAACTATTTTAAAGACAAGAAAAGGCCACGCGCATCAGTGAACATAACGAGCCGAGAGATTTTTCAAGAACGGAAAACCGAAATGGAGGAACGAGCCTTGCTGAGTTTCGATTCTCACAAAAGATGGGACGCGCCTCCGTGATCCGGTCGACTGCAGCGACCGTAAAAGCGGATTCCTCGCGACGTTCGCCTCCGCAGCAGCAGAAGCCTCTCGAAAGAAAATTGCGTCCAGCCGTGGAAAGCGGGATTTTCGGGGCAGTCCTCCGCTCTCCCGGGCGAGGGTCTAATTGAAAAGGTTAAAACTAGTGCGGAACCTTAGTTATAATTTCGGCATCGAGGAGGAGGACGGCGGCGTCGCGAGGTTGTGCACCTCCTCGAATGACTTTTTGGCCGTTTTCTGTATCTCGTCCATGCTGCGCTTGGTCATGGTCGTTAGATCGTCCAATTGACGGCGCGTCGACTCGAGCAGCTCGTCGGTCGTCTTGGCCGCCGTGTTGGCCAGGTCCTTCACCTCGGCGTCGATTTTGTCAATCACCCACTCGATGGCTTGACGACCCTGCGGGAAATTATATACGATATTATAGGTACACGAAGGGACTGTACTGCTGATACACGTGGTTCAGTGTTATTGCTGATTGACCCCTGTTCCACGGCACAAAGCAAAGCGAAATGGAACTCAGCCGCATGGAAATTGATGCAACGGCACGAGTATACATGAAAAAAAAAAAAGATCCTGTAGAGATGCGAAGGTAAAACCAACCTTTCCGGCGTTGAAGGAGACTTTGGACGCGAGGATGTCTTCCATGTAGTGAGTGAGCGGCACGCCATGGACTTTGACGACCGCTTCCTGTGTCAAAAGTGTTTTCCCCTCGTCCTTGGGATGTGGCGTGTACGTGACTGTCTCGTCGAATGTGATGTAGTTGCAGAAGGTAAGCTATGGAGGAAAAAAAAAAGAATCGTGCGTTTCATATTAATTCCCTGGTAATTCGATACAACCCTGAGCTAATTTCCTTGCGTTGAATCAACGGACGAACTTTGCAACGCGAGGAAAAAAAAAAAATAATGGTAGATAACACACGGGGTATCGTCTCGTCAAACAAATTAATTGAGAAACTTTTAACGCGATTCATCCCCCCCCCCCAAAACGGAGTTTGCCCGCAATATACATATTCAGCGGTTGGGCGGAAATTCAAACGAAGAAAGCCAGTCGGATTGGATAAGTGTCGGGAAACTTGGCGCGAAACTCTGGCAACGAAAACATTGATAATTTCGCGCACATCAGCGCCGGTGAGGGCGCGCTTTCAATTGACATTTTCACGAGACTCCTCGTCGGTGGCTATGCAAACACGCGCTTCGTCAGGACGACCGATTCCCGCGAGTCGTGCAACTTTTTTGCGTATTATTGTACTCCTGGAGGCGCGACTGAACGAAAATTGAGCCGGAGAACGCGTTAAAAAGTGCACAGGTCGAGGGAGGGAGAAAAAAAAAAGCAAGGTCGCCACTCTCGCTTCTCGAAAGCCCTGCACTGGCAAACTTTAGCCCGTGACGCTGGCACGGAAAAAAAGTGGGAAAACGAAGCCGAGGAGCGCGATCCGTCACGCGGAGAGAGAGAGAGAGGCTCGAGCAAACAGCAGCGCAGAGTTGTACACGGAGATATAGGAGGGAGGGGGGAAAGCTTTATTATTATGAGCTCGGAGGGAGGAAAGGTGAATATAACTCCCCAGACAGCGGGGGAGTGCTACACGAACAATTGAATCGCGGGGGTGCAATACGTTTCGTGGAAAATTAACGCCCGCGGCATTGTGGACCGCGAGGATTGCCCCCCCCCCCCTAACGTATGAGCTGTGATGTGTGTACGCCTACCTCCCCCGACCCCATTTTCCTCTGATATTGGCAATCAGGCGAGCCTCCAGTCTTCCTTATTCGCGCCATGTATACACCTATACCAAGGAGAGAACGGCTGGTGGTGGGTAATACTCTCTGTAAGGCGAATATCGGCGTCCTTAGCTCTCGTCGCGCTAATTACATCCTAGCGAGGAGGGATAAAGTTTGTTACAGTCTTGACGCCTGAGTTGTAGGCGTATAGATATCAGGCATGTGTATATAGCCGAGGAAAGAGATTCCGAGGGTGGTGGCGAAGAGAGAGATAGAGAGAGGGGGTATACACAACATAATGCCTAGGGCCGTGTTAATTGATGTTTTGAGGCGAGTCTGCCGATAATTCGCGGCATGCTTAATAAGGTTTCGCTAACAGCCCTCCCGGGAGAATCTAGTTACCACTAAGAGCGCCGAGGCGCCAAAGGGGTGAATAATACACCGTGAGACCCGCGATTCATCAAGTGTCAGTGACGGCCTTAACATTCGTCTTTTCTTTTCTTTTCTTTTATGCAACAGTTTGGTAGCTGTACAACTGTTATGGGTGTATACCTGTGTACGTATAATAATTATTCTTTCGTCCCGTGATACCTGCCCAAAAGGGGGGGGGGTGTATAATATTACAATACTTTGCCGGAAAATGAGCCGGGAAAGGCCAAACTAATTTAAACTTTAATTTTCATCCCGTTTGTCATTCTTACGGGTTTGAGTTTCCCGTCTCCTGTAAGCGGGGCGCATTCAATCGAGGACTGAAAAATTCATGCAAGTGTCGGGATGGGGCGAGAAGAAAGGGACGCCCGGGAAACTTTGGCTCTTAATTGGCGCATTAGCCTGTCCCATTGTCGCCCCCCAACACCCCCGCTCCTCTTTCTTTGTAACGAGGAATGATGCTACCGTGCGGACGAAAACACGCTCTTTTCACGGAAAACATTTGCTTCTTAGGAAGTTCTCCTCCACTTTTTTTTTTTTTCTTTCTTTCTTACTCTTTCGACTCGAGAGGGAGAGAGTGAGAAAAGTAGACAATCAAGAATCAGCGCCAAAAGAAAAAAAAAAAAAAAAAAAAAAAAAAAATGTAGAAACAATGAAGAGCAGCTACAGCGTGCAGTTACATTCGACTACAGGGTGGAAATGTAGAGTATCGATAGGTGGAGTGAAATTTCGAAAGAAAGCACATCGGAGGGGCAGCAATTCATGCCTCGGGAGGGAGAAGCTTTTCAGCCCCCTGTATACGTATCTATATACGTACAGTTGGAGCAACAACGGCCATAGAGAGCATAAAAAGTTGCGAGCGAAAGGCTGTCGGTTCAAAGACCTTTGTTTTATTGAGCGCGGAGCCATCGGAATGGCCCGATCGCGATTACTCAATGTTCTTTTCTCCATGTTCTCCCCCCACGGACGCGACAGCGGCCCAACAGCTCTTCTCCCTATACATACCTCCTATTGTTACCCAATGCCCTCAGTCCACTGGCATGGCTATATGTATATGTACAATAGAGGATGACAGATAAGTTAGTATTTACGCCCACGCCAACGGGAGCTATACTCGAGTGTACAATACGAATAACAACACGTCCATGCAAACAACGCGAAAAGTATTTTCAGGTGCAAATTATCCATATAGATGTATACATAATTCAAACACTGTGTTTCCGACATTTTCCGCTCGGGGAGGGAAAAAAGATACCGTGCACAGGAGGAAAAAAAAAGACTACCCTCCACCGATCGATTTTCACGCGCCGAGGCATTGGCAGCAGCTCACGCGCGCGTTATGCATCGCTCGAGCAATTTACTTCGCATCTGTGCCCCTCACCCCCTCGCTCTGCTCCTCTCTGGCCGACGTATAGATTTATATACAAATAGCCACATACTATAAGAGCGCGATGCTCGGGTATGCGTATAGTGGATAATTGAATTTTCTTTTTTTTTTTCCCCGTCCACGCAGTGTCGCGCTGATCGAGGCGTGACGTTTGCCGATCTCAACCATTAGACTATATACATATATTATATGTGTATGATGATCATGTAAATACAACAGAGCTCGCTTGTTATGCCAAGCTACTCGGCCAACGATCTAATTTTACCCCTCTCTCGTTTGCTCTCATATAGAGGTACGGCATTGCGACGACGTCGAGTCTCCAAGTATATTACTATTATAATAGCTTCGTGAAAGCGTAATAAAATATATAAACTCGCACGCGCAGGGTAATTTAAAAAAATTGGTAGCTATATACATATGACGGATTCGTGACGGATCGAGTACGACAATTGGTGATAGTAAAACAGGTGCCGGATGGATGGACGAAAAAATAACATATATTATCAATTTCCCGAGAACCAAAGTAGCCGTGTAAAATCCACGGGTGGGTGTAGAGTATGCAAGCGCGTTGGTTAATTGAAAAATGTGTTTGCCGCCATCACGACTGTTTGCCGATCTTTTCCATGCAGCTCGCCTGCCCCCCTTTTTCATCAACTACTGCCAGTACGCAGGTGTATACCTATACACTCGATCGCTCGTTGATGCGTTTGCTTTCCATTTAACCAGAGCAAGCAACAAGCTCTCCCCTGCTGCTGCCGTCGCGCTTGTATAGGTATATACTTATCCAATGATTTTACTCGCGTGTATACTTTGCACGGCTCTTTTCAGGGGTAAAAGATCGCGTATACTTATACCTACACGTGCATACCCCTGGTGCACGAGTGATGCCGCTGCTGCGTGTGTGTGAAAAAGCCACGAAAAGTGTCGACTGGAGGAGCCGCCGCTGCAAACAATCGCCTATATATGTTATATTATGTGCACCACTCGGGCGCGACTACTTTCCGGGAGAGCGGCTTTTAATTTTTAATGAGCTTAACCGTCTTTTCACCCACTACGCGCGTCGAATGGGGCTTTGAGAGCCCGAGAATTTCGTCCTTTTTTTCCACGGCGACAAACTATAGCCGTGCAAGCGCCGAGAAACACATCAAAGACAAAGTTACGCAGGAGAAAGGCTTTTTTCTTCTTCTTTTTTTTTACAGACTTTCTTCCAAACTGTTTCATTTTGTGATTTTTTAACAAGACCGTGCGAAGCGTGTACACTGGGCTTCGATCGACTTTTTTACTGGTATCGATTTTTCGACCCCGTGATACCGATACGATTGATAACAACTCGAGTCTGATGATTTTTCGATCTCCCGTGTTGGCCTGTAACTTGCGCAAAAGTTTGCTTTTAATAAGTGTAGATGTGCAAGGGAAAAGAAAGGCAACAAGGAAACTGCGCAAAGTAAGTAATAATTTAACTTTTACGAAAGTAAAAAAAAAAAGGTGTACAAGTATCGGGCGCGCAACTTTATACCGCTGAGTTGAAACGGCGATCCAATTAGTAAATTAACAACAATGAGGAGAGGAGAGGACAATGGACCGTTGGAGCGGAATAGTTTTGCCAAGAGAAACTAGTACCGCTGCAGCATAATTGAGGTCTTTTGCAACGGGTGTATAGGAATTGTTGGCTGGCGCGCGCGTTTCCCCGCGATAAGCATTTGCGTCGATCCTCCGGCCGCTTGCTCGGCAGGACCAACGCTACACCGTTTTCGATCGCCCCGTGCCGATCATCAATTAAAAGAATTCCTGCCACTGGCACCGGTGCACCTATCGACGGGGGGATGAGCAACGCTCGTTGTTTTTTTACCTGTTCGGTATACCACTCCGGCTTACCCCGCTATATATATATACACCTCTCGTTCCCTTGCGCGTTATTAATCTCCTCGTTGGGCGCGCATTCCATCTAAGGGGGGTATATGTGTGTCTGCATTCGACGATCGGCCGTCATGGATATTCAATCGGACGAGCGAAACTCCTCCCTCCCCCGGATCACTCGAAATCCGATTAGGCAAATGAGCTCAAAACTCCGTCACGGAAAATGCACATGTTCCCTTCACCTCGCGATTATCGCTACTGCTGTTTACACGCGAATTCCCCAATATACCAGCTACGACGGAATTTGTATTATATATCGTTCATTTGGCTACGAAATTGAATATCCATTCGCGTGTTATATGATAAGTACACCTGTGCACGATTACGGTCAATTAATTGCTCTTTTCACGTTGTTACAACAAAAAACAGGATTCTGGACGTTTGAGCTTTTTGTTGGTTTCAAATCACTCAACCCAATGTACACCAACAGTATTTCCTTGAAAAAAAAAAAAAAAAAAGCACTTAGACGAATAGTAAAGTGCAGATCCTTCCAGGCAGTTGAAGCCCCGAGCAAGTAACTCGCCGCGGCAAGGAAATCACGCGAAAAGAAAAAAGATGTAATGCACGCGGAGCTTTGAGCGAAGAATCTTTCGTGATAAAGGAGCCCGCCTCTCCGTAACTCTGGCCAAACAAAATAAATTTTAAACAAAACAGACGGCATGCACCTATACCTATAATATATACCTCGGGAGCTCGAACCAAAGTACGTCACTGCGGAAAAACTTTTCCGAGCCCCGAGCAAACAACAAGTACCCACCTCGAGAGCAAAAATGAAGCAGCCGGTGTACGAGGGGATGAAATGGAAAAAAAACACCTGTTGCATTTGCGTGCAGCCTCGCGATGTACCGTTTTCGCATAGATCAGCCGGGATGGGCCTGCAGTACATTTATGGGCATTCGCGTGCACCCCTGGGGCCAGGGATGGCTCAAAGATATCTGCTCTCCCACTGGGCTCTCCTTGTCCTCGCGAGTGCATATTATGGCAGCGCGAAACAGTCGCGTCGGGGAATTGTTCAATTTCAGCTCGCCAGCGAAAGGATAAAAGTGTCTCCCCTCATCCCCCAAACCCTCTCCATGGGTATTAGAGTCCTCGATGCGATAGGTTTTGCATTGGCTGGCCCGCAGAAAGCGTGGCGTGTACGTCTATCCCCAAGTTTATTCAGAGACGCGTATGTATATGTGCACGTACGTGCTCATGAGTCGAAGTTTCCCCCGAGGGGGTGGTACAGCACTGCCGGTCGTTTGAAATTGAAAAATGATAGCGAGTGTTTACATCTTTCTTCTTCTTGAAAAAAGAAAAAAAAGGAAGAGGGAAGCCCCAGAGGCTAGCTGGAAAAATCTCCGATATTACATGTATGTACGCGGGGGGGTCGCGCGCGAACAAGCACTCCCTGCTCGGTCCTGTACTCCATTCCCTCGTCTTTTTCGCATCGAGCATGCACCTGACGCTCGTCCATCATACGATACGCCCGAGCTGCATATACTTCGGATTTTGCCCCTACGTATACGTGGGTACCTATCGCTTTTTTCTTTTTTTTCTTTTTCTTTTTTTTTTTTTTTTTTTGCAAGAGCTCGGACTGATCTCTAATGTCGTGTCTGCTGTCGCATGTACACTACCGATGCTCCACTGGCTACTGTTGCACTGCTGAACGCGAATAATCCATCATCATTCGAAGCAGTAGGGACTAATGCCTTTTTTTACTATTTCGAAGAACCGAAGAGCCACATTACGTTTGTTGAGAATTTTCGAGAGGGAAACAAGAGATAATAATCGACTCGAATAAAAAGGGTACCTGCTCGAGGCTGTAGGTATATAATGTACCCACAAACGACTATTGTTCGCCGTCAAGCGGTGCAGTACATAAAACACAAAAGTTTGAATTGATTCAATGAATGCGCTGTAGCTGGCATGTAGTTATGTATTATATATTATACATACGTAGAAAACGTTTCATTTTTCCTCGGTATATAAACACCGGAGCAAGAAAACGGAAAAGTTTGAAAATATATTCAATGAAACGATAATTTTCGCGCTGGAGGGAAAACAAAAAACTTTTCGACTTCTACGTATACGTATAAAAGGGGGAAAGATTTTCAATTCGATATTCCGGGAGTTTTCCCTCGGACTTTTCCCGAACAATGCGAGGCCATCGCAATCGCATCAGAGCCACGGAGTTCCCAAGTTTCGGCCTCCACCCCGGAATTGTTATGTATTTCAATTACTTTTCCGAGCACCCGAGCGAGTCGCCAAATTATCACCAGTCCACTCGGCGTATCGATAATCCATCAAAACTATATTCCAACTCTCCCCGTCGACCGAGCACCTATACATACATAGGAAGGCCTATAGGGTAAAACCGGTCGCGGAGGAGGAGCTGTGTAATCACGGCGTTTCCAGTTTGGCATTGGAATCGAAGCGCAGATGCCCGAACCGGAAACTTTGCGGGGAAAACTGTCGATCGCCTTGTTCCGCCCAAGTCGAGGAAATGAGTCGGCCATTACTGGACGAGCAACGCGAGGACTGTGGATCAAACCACCTGACCTGCACGTATAGAGGTATGACAAAAAATTCCCATGTTGGAGTAGGAATAAGTAATATGCAAATTTACACCAATGAAGATAAACACATGTTTGCAGCGACAAATTGAACTCGGGATTTGGGGTCATTGACTCGATTCATCTCGTGGATTCCCTCGTTGATCTTTTCTGCTACAACTTTTTTTTTTATACAATCGAATAGATTTGACAATAGAGGGAGAAAGATACATACAATAGGGGGGGAGAGGGAGAAATCGTCATCGGTGCGGCGTGGCCGTTTTCACGTATTTTTCGGGCGAATCATCGAAACTGCGCTCCTGCGGAGTGAGTACGTAAGATATATACATGTGTTGCTCAAATTATGGGTATGGAGAGAGAGAGAGAGCCAGCGGAGCGAAATAAAAAGGGGGTGGACGAGAAGAAGGGACCCAGGGGGGCCTCGCCTCGACTTGCCCCCCGAGTAGTATCGGAATAGAGCACGCGATCCGGAAGGAATAAGTATACGTGTGCGCCATGCGAAACGCGCCGCGTCTCGTGATTTTTCCCGGGAGTCTCCTCCTCCTGGCTCTCCCGACGTGGCCTCGGAGATGGCGAGCAATCAAGTCTTCAAATTTTCATTCACATTCCCAGCAACCCCAATTTTCCTCAAATTATTAAAATTCCAACTTATTTCAGAATGGCAAAGTTTTGTCAATATTTCAAGAGCTTCGCTGAAACGCTGCGTCGCCAGATGTTACATGATTCCGCGCATCGACAAGCAGAGAGAGAAGTAGTTTTACATATCCCTCTTTTAGCTTTTACCACCACCGGGAAAAATATCGCCGCGGCGCAAGGAATAACTCTGCAGTGCATTACCTGAGAGGGACGCGCGCATAAAGTATGAAAGGTCCCGTCCGCAACTGCACATGCATCCGTATATAATATTATGTACAAGTGCGCGCGTGCACTTTACGGCGATGGGAAAATTATCTGTTTTTTTCCAAACGTCGGGATGCACTGGAATTTTTACCGACGGGTCTAAAGCTCGTCGGGGCAAAGGAGGGAACCCGCGACTGTGACATTGGTCCTCTTTTTCCTTTCCCGGGAGATCGAGTGCGCGCGGGTCGCCTGGACACGACAAAGGAGCGCCGACGGATTCGCCCATTGGCTCGAGAAAGCTGCACAGGTGGACGCGATATCAATCTCCAGAAAAATGGCCCCCGTCGTTTCGCCTCCGCCTCGATTGACGTTCAATTAAATTCCCAGGACACTCGCTCGAAAAAGTGCACGACGTATTCACCAAAATATTATATACCCGGTTCTACGCCGACAAACAGTACCAAGCCCATCCGAGTAAACGAAAGAGTTTGTGCGCGGGTGACGTATACTTATGTACTAAATAAAATTGACTTACGCTTCTTCGGTCACGCAAGCGCAGCTGAATAAGTTTGGACTTACGTTTCTCGTTTTCATGACCATTTGCCGGTTGGCGGGATCGACCTCGCTCCTCTCGCTGGCGTAGCAAATGTTGGAGTCGCCTATCAGCTGGAACAGAAAATTGCAAAGGAGACCCCTTGTTATTAACGATTCGCTAGTGTATACGCCAAGGCGTTGATTAAGAAAGAAAGGGGCTCCGGGAGGGGGGGGGGGGAAGAAATTAATTGTCCATTACACGCGTCTGTGTACACGTATACGTATATATTCTGAAAAGATGGACAAAAGTTGGTTGGGCGGGTAATGCAGCGACGGGGAGAGAAAATAACGTGAAATTGATAGGGCAATTAGCGCGGGTAATTATAACAAAACAGGGCAATTAGAGCATCATTAGATCAGGCGAGGCAAAGTTGCTCGCGCTCCCCCTATAATTTTCGCATTGGAAAGAAAAAAAAGCTCTGTACCCCCCGACCCCCGCGTCAGCAAAAGCAAATTAACCCTCTCCCTTGACTTGTTAACGCGATTTCTATTTAAAGTTACGGGCTCGGCTATTTAATCGATACCCTATACATATATATGTACACAAAAGGAGAGCTTATCGCACAAATACTCGAGCGCTTTACTTAAAAGTGGGACGTCGGAGAACTATAGGGGATGAAATATTGTATACGCTTTAATTCCAAGATTTATGTGAACGGGCAATGAAGATTTAGTTTTTTTTTTCAGAGTAAAATCATAGCTTACCACGCATGGCTCGTTTTATTTGCACATAGCGTTGCCAAAAGCTGTACGCCAATTACGTTCACCCTCGATTATTGTCACTTGACAGGAGAGACAGGAGGGAAAAATCAAGGTAATTTTTCATTCGAAATATTAATGAAAAAAAAAAGAATCCTTTTTTTTCCCTCCCCATTGAGAACACGAGGGTTCACCGTCGTCTCAAATACGAGTAGGTACACAGATACAGCATGCGCTTGGAATTCCTCCACTCGAAGAGAATAGCATTTTACATGGAGGGGGTGGTGATTAAAAAAGTCGAAAGAAAGGAAAAAATCGCGCAGAATGGGTGATGGTGGTGAAAAAAAAAAAAAAAATCCGTCTCCATTCTCCGCGACCGAGAAAGAGAGCCTCCAGGAGGGAAGCATCGGCGAGAAAGGAGAGAGAAAAAAAAAAAAAAAAAAAAAGAAGGGTGTCCTGGAGCGGGGCCAACTTGACGTAACGCTGAACGCGCTCATTACGAAAGTTGATACCCAGCTGATGGTGTACGGGTAAGTGAGCGAGTGTGTGTAAGTACGTATACCTACCAATCCGCTGTTTTGCAATTCCCCGGCACTTCTTGCACTGCTCGCATTGCGCGGGTGTGTATATGCACGTACATGTATAGATATGATAATAATAACAATAATAATGGTAATGCAGGCTAGCTCGAGGGGAGCCACCAAGAGCGCGAGTTTCGAATTTCCGGCGCTCTATGCTGCAATCATCGCCACCAGCAGCGCCGGGAAATTGCTCGGAGGATAACATCCCCCCCCCCCATCTGACGGCGCTCGCCTTTCTTTATTTTAAGGAGGAGGACGAGATTACGGCGCGACTCGGACAATGAATTTGCTCCAAGGGGCCGCTCTCCTAATAGAGCTGGGGTGCCAAAAAGCTCGGGTGCCATGTCTATATATATACATACATCCATACCGTTGCACTTTCACGCTCTTCTGGGGCTTCACGCTTTTTACGGGGATGGGCGAGTTTTTTTACCAGGGAATTTCCATGCGAACAGGACACTTGGGATAGAGGAGGAGGAGGAGGTGGATGAACGTGTAAGCTTATCCGAGAGGGAATTTGGGACGGTTTACGGAAAGAACCAAAGTTCAAGAGCCGGTATCTTTGAGCGCGTTTTGCTGGAATTTACTTGATCGCGGGCAGATTGTGCAGTCAATGTGTACGTACATGTGTTTGCAAGTTGCACGATTATAAATTGGTGCAATAGCGTTGTGTATAATACATTGTGTAACAACAACGTCGTTTACAAACTACAGAGAGATTACATTTTTTTTTCAAGTGTTCGAAACGTGTGCTTGAAAAGAAAATTGCCAATAAATGAATGGGCAATTGATTTTACAAAGATTACTCGATGAATGACTATATCAAGTGTACTCACAACACGATTGTTTGATCATTGAATTGGTAACAATTGTAATATCTGCCAATGTATATTCATTTTTCAAGCGCTATACAAACGATGAACGACCTTGATCTTGCACAATGTGCAGTTGGTCATGTGAGCTCTGCAAAAACTTTTCACAATACAATTGTGTAGGAAATGAGTTGCTTTCCGTTGCAAAACTTAGCTTCATAGTTGAAACAAGTGGTTTTTGTACACAAGTAATTTTATTAATGTATTTATTGATTTAACAGCAAATAATCCCAAGAACTTAATAATTAAATACATTCTTGCATCTTGGAATCATTATGATTCTTGAAACATTCATAAAAAAATCAAGTATTATGTGTAAACTCATTTTACAGGTATAAAAAATTAATAGTGATTGAAAATCACAGACGTTTCCAATTTTTGTAATAAATCCACAAATCGTGAAAAGATATTGAGGGCACTTGGAATTATGACATATTTATGTAAGGAACGCTTGTCTCTGCATGAGTCACATGAATCTTATTATTAATTACTAGTTAGAGAAGGGAAAACAAACAGTGTCACTTTACTCGAGTGAATTGTCGGATCTTACTACAATTCAACCAGAAACTTGTTCAACTGTGTGATGATTGATTTTTCCTTTGACATTTTCCCTCTTGCAGGAAATATTTGTACTGTACAATTGTCATTGTAAGGAGCTTTTCATTTATACAATCAGGAATAAGTATAAACACTTACTGGTTTTGTCCATCGAGGGAAACCCCACTGACTGGAGACAAGGCGATGTGTAAATAGGACACCATTGACGATCTTTCTGTCTATGACATCTGTGCCCAGCACTGACGGAGTTATCGGATTCGGGTACTTTCTCCACGCAGCAGCTGCAACAGTCTCCCACGGATGACTGTTGGACAAAATATTTTCGCATTAACAGGATAAACTTAAAACGAAAAACACTAGCCATGAATCTTTCAAGTGCAAATCAATCGAGCACACGCTATGTAGGCCAATACGCGTTGCGGGACCAGCGTATCAAACACTCACTTGAAAACATGCTCTGACATCCAGACCTTCATCTTGACTCGCCTAGATAAGAACAATCAGCACCAAGTAATTTATTATTTGCGATATCCGGAAAAATGGGCAAGTCAGAGAACTCGAGCTTCTGCTAGTGAGGTTATAAGCGCAGCAAGGGTGTCTTCTGCTGCGCCACCGTATCGATGGGCTGATACGAGGAGAAAAGACCTGCAGTTCTCTGTGCACGTTCCTCGGACTCGATTTTTTTTCTCTCTCCTCCCACTTCGTCACCGCGGCTTGTTTACTGACACCCCACTTCTTATCTCACAATTGAGGAGATGAAAAATATAAATTGCAACTACTTAGTCCATTTACTGCCAAGTATTCCGATGACTTGCGTCATAAAAGTGTCGACCTTGAAAACTCTCGCGACCCTCGCGAGCCGCGAGGTAAACTGTCCGTCACGATACGCTCGCTCGTCTGCCGCCATATTTGAATTACCCGGAAGAGCCAGTCGGAGGCACGTTGTTTAGTTACTTGTTGGCTTTTATGTTTTGTTTACCATTAGGGGTTGTGTTGCTGGCTTTTGAAATATTTAAGTGAAACTGTGCGGGATACGTTGGTTAAGGGATCAAATGTTGCAGGAATATGAAGTCATTGTGTATAAAAAATTATTTTTATTTGGCAACGGTAGTGCAACGCAGTGCGCGTCGGCGTTTTTTCGTACAAAAATATAGAGATTGGACTTTGCTTATGTGATATAAAAAAAAAAAGTACATTCAAGTGTGCGTTTTTTAATCATTGGACAGCCAAGGACATGGTGGACGGAATGGTGAGACAACACCACAGGTTATCAGTTGCCATCGTCGTTGCTGTCGAAAAAATTTGCATTCTCCAAGCCTTCGGGTAAGTGGCATTTGTTTAAATTTTCGACAGATATGGACTCTTTATAATTTTTTCCTAAAAATTCAGTATAATCGTTGGCACTGATTTTCTTATAATTTAATCATACGTATCCACTAGAAAGTTGCGTACCTAGTGCAGCCTTAAGCTTTCCTTGAGAAGATGTATCCTTAATAAATAGAGGAACTTTTGGTTGAGGCCCCTTCTGATTCTCGATGGTATTTACAGACTTTGCATAAGCCTTTGCGACTTCCTCCGATTTTTCTGCCCCCGCTAGGTAAATAACGCATTCTGCCAACATTACATCACACTCTGGCAATCCTATCATCTGACAGGCTTGCAGGGTATTGACAGCCATGCCTGTGATTACAGTATTTTAAAAACATGTTACTTTGCGTTATTATTCAAAATACAGTAATAATAAAATTAACATACTCAGAGAAAGTTCATCATCAGTTCCAATAGCTTCACTCGCTATTCTAATCAATCTTTTTGCAATGCATACTGGATCTTCTTTGATGTCCAATATCCTAACTAGCCAATACAAAGCAGCATTAATGTCGTTCCCTAGTATGGAATAGTGCAATGCAGAATACATGTGATTAACACTGTCATTTTTATCCGATAAACATTGAGTTTCCTTCAGACTATCTTTAATGTCGCTTAAATTCAAAACTATTGGTTGAGACCCGCTAGTTGTGTCACTTAATTTAGTTTGTACAGCTATTTCCAATCCTCCCAAAGCTACTCTGGCATCGCCGTCACAAATGTCTGCTAACCAATCAATAATCACGTCCTCAATATAAAATTTTACATTTGAATCTTCCATGACCTGTTTTTTACTTTTTTTCACTATTTTTCCAGACATTGATGTTACAGCTTTGGAGAGTATTTCAATCAAATCTTCCTTGCTCAATTTATTCAAAACAAATACTCGACATCTACTCAGTAGCGCGGAATTCAAACTGGATGATGGATTTTCAGTTGTGGCCCCAATCAAAGTAAATGTTCCAGCTTCCACGTGAGGAAGAAATATATCTTGTTGGAGTTTGTTGAACCTGTGTATTTCATCCATGAAAACAACGGTACGTTTGCCTTCTTTAGCTAAGGTTTCTGCTTCTGTAACTACTTTTTTGACGTCATTAATACCCGCAGAAGTTGCTGACAGTTTGACAAATCTCACTGTACTGTCGGATAATTTTTTACTCTCTTGAATTATGACATTGACCAAAGAAGTCTACAAGAAATACGTGATATTTATTTCAACTGGAAAAATAAAACCATAAAATCAACGTAACTAAGTTTTTACAGTACCTTTCCACAGCCAGGTGGACCAAACAATATCATACTAGGTATTTTACCATTTTTTAACAAGTCACGTAATATGCTGTTGGGCCCAATGAGATGAGCTTGTCCCTTGTAGTCAGCTAGTTCACTGGGCCTGATTTTATCAGCCAGGGGTGCATGCCACTTTTTCGACCCCGAACCCTTTGTTTCTAGTTTATCCATCACGTCACAAGTTGTTCAACTTTTGTCTTGGAAAATAAATGTCCTTGCGATTTAGAGTGGATGCAATTTTTTAAAAGATCTACAACAAAATGAACTATTGGAATCATTCACACATCAAACTTCTTATAAATAGTTTCAATGAAAGAGGCAGGAGTACATACAACCACGGATTATATTCCAATAATTCAATAAAAACGATTTTTCATCAAAAAGGTACTTACTTAGTTCAAAACGTGCAGTGTTTACACGTGTAACATAAGTGGTATACATAGAGGGAGTAGATGTAGGTATGTTTTCATATATACATGTATACAGGGGTGTAGAGAAAGAGACAGAGAGAAATGTTGTACCTTTAGTAAAAAGATCCTCGAACGCACATCATGAGGTTGTTCTCCGGCTTCTCGCGTCTAATACGAATTCCCTCTGTTTCGTAGTTTCGTCTACTCACTCTGCCAATGCTTGAGGTAAGGTACTTCACTCACACATTATTACATATTGATAATTAATTCCACCGTTCGTTGACAAATGCGTAAACACCCAATCCCTTTTTGTCCCGCAGAGAAAAAAATAACCAAGAGCAAACATGGATACAGGCGATTATCAGCGCTACCGGCGTGAACAGCTGGAAGCCGTTTCGAATCAGAGCGGGAGCTCGGCCAGCGACGTCCTCTTCGTGATATTTCCCAACTTTGGTAGCATCCTCTTGGCCCTAACCCTTATAACACTGTTTGGTCACAGGATCAACGAGCTCGGGCGAATCTTCATTGAATTCTCCACTGTCATCGTGTCCTGCATTCTCTGTTGCACTGTGCTGTCGGACAAGGTTGTCATCATCTGCCAAATTTTTTTCATACTATCGGCTGCCAACATCCTGTCGATCCTGTCATTCAAGCCCAAGGACTCTTTGAAAAGTTTGCACAATGAAACTTCCAGCAAGATTCCCTTTGTCACGAATTTCCGAGCCATGACGAACATTATTTCCATCATTTGCATCCTTGCCGTTGACTTCAAGTGTTTTCCTAGAAAGTACGTCAAGACAGAAACTTACGGTTACAGTCTCATGGATACTGGAGTGGGTTTATTTATCATGGCCAATGCCTTGGTGTCACCAGAAGCCAGACTTGTTGATTCAGATACAAAGATGCCATTTCTCAAAGGCACCGTCAAAACAATCAAGGGCTGCATTCCTCTGCTTGTACTTGGTCTAGCAAGATATGTGTCTGTTGAAATTATCGGATATCAAAAGCACGTCACAGAGTATGGCGTGCACTGGAATTTCTTTTTGACCTTAGTCTGTGTCAGATTATTTACCGGAGTGCTTTCAAAGAGTCTCAGCTCAAAGTATTCCCTGTTAACAGGTTTGTGGATTTTAGGAATGCACGAGTACGCTCTGAGTACACAGGGACTGAAGGAGTGGGTCTTAAGCGATGAACCCAGAGATGACTTGATATCAGCAAATAGAGAAGGCTGGGTATCAATACCTGGTTACGTGGGACTTTATTTGCTGGGTGTGGCTCTGGGAAGACTGATATACTCTACGTACAAGGATCTGGACAGTCAGCTGGTTTTTCATGTTAAATTTTCAACTTATGAATTTCATATTGGATACACGCGATCAATGTCGCTTACTGTCAAGCTTTATGCAATTGCTAATGTGGCATTTCTAGTTACGTATTATTGTGAACGTTACTTCCTCGTGTCGAGGAGATTAGCCAACTCTGGATACTGTGCATGGATATTTACAATTAGTGCTTTATTTCTCACCTGTTTTCTGATGATCGATGTGATCATGGAATGTATTACTGGCTGTGTTAGGGACAAATGTCGGCGCAAAGTGGCCAAGCATTTGCGTCGCGACGACTTGAATGCCAAGGAAAGCGTCATTGTGGTAAAAACATTAGAAATATTTGAAGCAGTCAACGAAAATGGTTTGTTATTTTTTTTATTTGCCAATTTATTGACTGGTGCCATTAATATGACCATAAAAACTTTGCACGTCGACGAGCCCCAAGCAGTGATTATCATTATTACTTACATGGTGACAAATTTGACTTTGGTGTTACTGCGTTACAGAGGAAAAAATATCCTTAGTGCCAAAAAGAAGAACTAAGTTGTTCCAACATCTGTGATTAAATGTGTTGAAAATTTTTGAGGGTGTGTTTTTTTTAATGAAAACACTACTTTGTATTAGTTTTACTTTTTTCTAAAATTTGTATATTCATACAAAAAATAAATAATAATACCCAATAGGATGGGACCTGACATACCAAAGCTATGTGTAACAGTATATATATAATATTACGACGCATGTACCAACAACTGCATTTTAGACATGATAGTTATCGTTGTATTTTTTACTCTAATACTTAAAGTACTTGAATGTGATTTTAATGTAATCAATTTAACTTGTAAATGTAAATAGTTAGTAATGAAAAATTTTGATGAAATAGAGAAACGAGTTTTGATTTGTATTTTAATGAAAAAATGACCCTTTGACGATTCGCCAATTAGTGCTCAACCAATTCTCAAAGTTCTGTTTTTCCTTAAACTGCAGTAACTGCTATAATTCTTCTCTCTTTTCATCCACCACCTTTTTTTCTTCCATCGACTCATTTACTTGTTGTTTTACAAAGTCCTTGAATGCATCGTGATTTTTCACATACTCTTCAGCTTTGGTCACAATCCTCACAAACTCATCCACATCGAATTCGTAATTCATAAATTTCGCGTGACTACCACCATGAGGATGAGTTCCCTATAAGTAAAATGTATTTGTAAACTGTACAACCATGCGTTTAATAAAGTATCCGAAAACTTTAACTGTTATCAATGTTACCGGATCGATTTCGGTCAGCTTGCTTGTATTTTCCCACGTCAAATACTTGATGCCCTTGAGTCGTGCCACGTCTTTGTAACAGCTGGCATCCTCGCAATTATACCTAAACAGAATGCGAATACAATTGGATTTAGGTCAAAAAAGTAAAAAATATTCACTGGTAATCCCATTGTAAGTACTTACAACTCAAAACCAACTGCCCACTCCGGGAGAAACAAGAAATGCGTCAAACCGGCTCCGTGAATGCCAATGAAAATGTCGGAGTTTCTCGTGATTTCCAGTTGTTTTTTAAACGATATGTTTTTGTTGTAGACAACCTAAGAATTAATCATATGACAATAAGCTCACATATAAGTGGATACATTTTTGAAAAAAAAAAAAAAAAAAAAATGTTACCTTTTTCACTTCGTAGTCTGGATTTTTTTCAAGAGCTCCAACCAACTCGTCTTCGTTCATAGTTTTTCGATACTGGGTGTCTCTACTCAAAAGAGTTACGCGAATTTTTGAATTGCTTCTCTCGTGCAAAGGTATCCTTAATCTATGCAGTACGTGATCCGAAAACGAAGTAAAAAGTCCACTTTTTTCACAGCCATAAATCTGTAATTTTTCAAAAAATTTTGCATAATAAACTTTGTTTTCTCTTCGTTCAAAAATCAATCGATAAATAATAATCTCTCACCAGTGGTGTATTGTAAAATAGTCCAAAAATCATGCGAGGCAACAGCGGAAAAACAACATTTTTAAAACAAACAGTCTTTCCTCTAAATGTTTTGAGATCCCAAATGGGGTGTCTCGTAAAGGCTTCGAAAGTATCTTGAAACGCTGATCGGTAACTGCAAACATCCAAATTGCTCAATGATTATAAAAAAAAATCAAAATCTTGAGAGATAAAATTAAAAGAATCCTACCTGTAGCTTTCCCAGATCATGACATGATTGTCAGTGCTGAATACCGACGGGTGCAACAAGTTGACGTGCAACGAAGCGTAAAGATTGAAAAAATCACAAAAATGATGATACATGTTCACGGCGGCGTCGATTTTAAGTATATACGTAGGTTTATCAACGACGACGTCGCAGTCGCCCTCGACAATGGGCTTGCGGGCCAACTGTTTGAAATGAACTATTTCCGGCGCCCAAGATTGCAGAGGACTCATGTGGTCGGCGTTGTCCCTCAGTCTTTGTTCCCTCAATCTACGAGTTATTCAAATAATGAAAATTCGCAAATCGAATAGAGAGGGATGAAAAAAAGTACCCTTACCTGCAGTGTCCACCGATCTGTCCTTCGGTCAAAACGTCCATCTTGTACCTAATGGGCTCCTTCCTGTTGGCGAGATCGGTGAAGTTGATCATGATATTCCTACCTCGGCAAAACCTCATGTGCTCCGAGCACTCGAGCGACGAGTCGTCCTGCAACCAATCGCCGCGTGTATATAGCTCACCCCCTGCGTATAATTTTCCCTCGCCGATCCCCGCAGCTTACCGAAAACAGCGGCTCGCACAGCAGCATCATCTCCTTGCGCTGATCGCGCACGTAGCCAAAGTCCCCCTGGGTGTAAAAAGTGTTGAGCTGGGCCCTCTTCGTGGAGACCCATCCTTTGTGCTCGCCCGGACACCGGGGCAGAGAGAACGCGTGCTCGGGCTTGCAGTCCGGCTCGTACCCCCAGCAAGCTTTCTCGTCCAGGTGATCCTGTTGGTCCATACAAATAATCATTGAAAAACGTCCCTTTGGTTTTATTCCGGTCAATAAACAAAAAAGCACGCTCACCTTGTAGGGACACGCCGCGTCGTTTCGGCACTTGTGAGCCAGCGCAGGAAACGAGTTGAAGTAGTACTTCAAGTGGTTCTCCGGCAGGTCGATGTCCGAGTAATTGTCGGTCGCGGTGGTCAACGAGGCGAAAATAAGACTCAGCGTCCAAAAAGCCGAGGATATCCCTAGAGGACCCATCTTGCGTCTCGAGGCTGAAAGACGAGCGCGGCTCGAGTTACGAAAGAGGATGATCGTGACATTCACGAAACTGCGTGTCCGGTGGTTCATTGGGAAATCGAGAAAGTACGATTATCGCGGCTCGGAATGATAATGTATTCACATTTTGGACGCCCACGAGTCTCGAGACAGGCTGGACTGCACGCGTATATCCGGCCGATAAATTACAATAAATCGGCAAGGGCCAATAAAATCGAGGGGTGGGTACGTACAAGTATACGCGTACGTGTCTCGCAAGTTTATAAACTTGCCAAACGTAGCGCATATGACTCAGCGTATCGTTAAAATTATAGAAAATTCGGTGTACTTACGCATTTGAAAGTTGGACCGAGGTTGTTTAAGTGGGCGCTCCGCCCGGGGTAATTGGTTCGAAGCCCGGAATCGTTCATGGGCACTTGATTTTAATAGTCACGCTGCTCAGGGTAATCCGTATAACTGTATACCGGTTTACCTCGACCGTACGGATTATCGTATGCCCTACGTACTGCGAGGCCGAAAAAATACCTTACTATTTTCATGGCCCATAGTGCGGCCAATATACCGATACCCCCTTGCTCTATAGTCCTGCTGCAGCTGATCCTGCCGCCGAGCCTCTCTCTCTCTCTCTTTCACGGCCGACCAAAATGACATCTGCCTCTTTGCCCGAGGACTAAGGGTTCCTCATCCGCCCACCAACCATCAAGACGTTACCTACTCGTGGATATAAACAATTTTTATTTCATCCTTCAATTAATAAGATGCGCTTTCGATCAGTAAAAGAGTACGTAATTTTGGCAAATGTGTACGTATTTTTAAAAAAACGGGGTTGAATTGAACACCGCGTTTGTTACCGTGGACCAGTAAAATACGGCAAGTCGGTAAAAATAGCACCTACCTTGGCTCTCGGCACAAAAAAATAAGTCGCCGAGCGTAAAAAGAACACGTTTCCATCGTTTCCCGCGCTCTTATGATTTTTAAAGCACTCGTGCCCATAACCGATTAATTTTCGATCTGAACTAAGGTACATAGATTTAAGAAGGGAATGGTCCTTCGTGATGTCCTCGCAAATGTCTTAACTCGGTCGTAGTGAATTTCCGTTTGGTCGAGCCTCGCATAAATATTTATGAGCGGGTATTTTTTAACGAAAAGCATATATAATAAAGGGCAGCAATTAAAGCGATCGTGCATATATGCACGTATATACATATAGGTATACGATGTGAGGTATTATATATAAACGTATAGAGAGCGGTCAAGGGACGGTGCAGGCGGCGACAACAACGGCTTCTCTATAAGCGTGACCCGGAAAGAGATTCAGCCGGACCGGTATATACGTGCACCTATGCCCAGGAAAAGCTCTATGAAAGACAACGCCACGAAGAAGGGAGGGAGAGAGAGACTCGGATCGAGCGATAGATTGAATAAACGATCTACATCGATCACGATCACATCAGCGCGCGCCCGCGATACATCGCTCCACATATACACGTATATACCTGGACAGCAGCCCTTGTGGTAGGTATACCTCCTGCTAGCTTATACATTATACACACACACACACATGGGGTAGAGAGGCATCACCCGGAGAAAGAGAGATCGCAAGCTTGACCGCAACGGTATCACGTGCCAGTTGGCTCTTCCTATTTATACGAGCGAGCCCACTTATTTGCTGCGCTTGTGGTCTCCCTCCCGTACTCTTCCATCCTCTCTCTCTCTCTCTCTCTCGATCTCATCCGATCGGCTTATACTGTTAGAATCATTAAGTCACCGCTTTGGCTTTTCCACGATGGATAACTTTATCCGCACACATTTTCCCCTTTTATTCCGGGCCGTGTGTATAGGTGTACACCTTTTTTTCCCTTCCCTACATGTACACGCGCGACTGTATAATGCGTTTGTGCTCCAGCTGATGATGGTCTCGTTGCTTTTCGAAGTACGTACGGGGTACTTGTTTGTTTGTATACTTGACTTTGTTTCCGAGACGCGCGTAGCTTTTTTTCCTTTTTTTTTTTTTTCACATCGATCTTTTGTTCCCTTTGAGCCGCGACTAAGATTGACCCATTTATGGCTTTTTTGCTCGAAATCCTGAAAATCGCAAGTGTAAATATCGAAGCGTTTGCGTGGTGTCCCATATAATGATACAGCTATTATGTATAAATATTATAAATAGAATGTAGCAAAAGATAAATGCATTGGGAATCGAAATTCCTGTCTCCAATAAAAGTACGAAGTGAGCGACAGTGCTGTATTGTTAAGTATGGGCGAAATTTCGCTAACATGTAATAGCTACGACACAATACATTACGGGGCTGAATTTTCAGTTTTTCGAGCACGCCGAGCCGCGGGTAACTTGGCAGCTTCGTATCACGCGCGATACAACTCGTTACAATGAGAAAAAGGGCAGGGGGGGGGGAGGCAAATCCCGTCGCGCTATGGGAGCGCGCATAGCTCATTGTCAACGCGCCCGTCGTTTAGCGCAAAATGTGCACTGCGCTGCAACGGTTTGAATTGCCCGACTCGGTGGCGCCCGCTGTCACTGCTATCAAACGTCCTACGCGCTGGACTATATATTTATTCCCTGGCTCTCTCTCTCTCTCTCGATGATATGCCACCACGCGAGAGAGCTAAACACCCGTTGTTGTTGGTTTTTCCCCCTTTATCACCGTCGCTATGGCTAAACGTCCCGTTCATAGGTGTGCACTTTAATTATGAAATTTGTACCCACTTTGTTCATACCGATTGTTTCCGAGTCGAGGCTGCAGTACCATATATACTTATACCTACGTCATTGTATAATTGGACAAATCTTGGCACTATTTGCCAATAACAACCTGCAGCTATAACGCGTACATCGTCTACCAGGAAATGTAAATTTTTACTCGCAGCTTCAAAATGAATTTATTAAGTCTTTATTTGGCTGAAATGGCATTTAAAAAGTATAAGGCATAAGCGGCGTTACTCGATTTGGGTCTCTCCACCTGTCGCGCCGATCAAGCTTGGTAACTACGACCCATCAATTTTCGATCCCATGAGAGCTGAACGAACTATAGGACGCAATCATCCCTTATACTTTTTCTCTCTTGATTTTACTTACACCTTAAAAGGGTGATTACAAGCTTTATGCGAGTGTATGGCAATACCTCCCTCTTGTCCCCCTCGAAAATTTCATTGCGTATAACTTGGAGAAAACGATACAATTTTTTTTTTTTTTGCAACACCCGTTTTGCAATTTGATATACGTAGCGACTCTTACCCTCCCTTCCCCGAGTCTGTTCCCTCTACAGTACATACAATACCATTATAAATTAATTGATAGCCGGTGTCGCAACGAGTTCTCCTCGCTCGCGGTGGTGGTGGCGACCATTCATACAATAGCCAGTTCCGAGATATCCTTGCTCCCATGGAAAATATTTATTGTGTATTCGTGATGTATGCGTTTTTAGTCGACTAGTGGAAGAATTGTTTTTTTGTTTTTTGTTTTTTGGTTTTCGATTTTGTAAAAGTACCTATACCGACTTACTGCGTGATCGAGTGTCAAACAAGAGCAGTGATTCACCCTGTACGAACAAACAGACGGACCGAAAAGCTGATGAGTCGTTGCCAATGATAATGGCTAAGAAAACCACGAGTGGTTATTTACTTGATGGGTGCATGGTTATAAAGTGACGCGCATCGATGAAATAATACGGTTAAAAACCGATGACGACTCGAGACGCCACTTACACAAAGGCCGGCGATTGCCTCCAAGCGCACGTTTAACATATATATTCCGGTGAAGGACAAGTGACGTACAGCTGCACGCGGTTATGAATATTTGTGATAATAACAATACAGTCGTGCCGTCTGTCTGTCCCGCTGAGTGTCCGACCTGCGACCCTGGAGTCGTAAATTTTCCTCCGTTGTCACCCTACGGCTGCACATTACGTATATGTATATATACGCACACACACGCGTGCTTTACGAGCCCCGCAACTCTTGCGCTCGTTACGCTATTCCATTTGCACGATCCTCATGGATATATGTGCACGCACATTGCGACTCGTGTATTTTTCTTATACTTACGCTCGTTGCGAGATGCATGCACTTACTTATACTTACCCATTGTACGTGCATCCGAGTGAAAATTGGAAATCCCTACTCCTTGCGCAATCTGAAACGGCGTGCGTCAATGGCAACCCGAAACAGATCGACCCGACCGATGTACCGTTCCAACAATGGACTCTTTTTTTTCTCTCTCTCTCTCTTTTCCCTTGCACATAAACATCAGTCCACACACGCTTGGATAATTGTTAGCTGCGGGAGGCTTATCTCGAACACGTGCCATTTCAAGGACGTAAAACCCCGGGCCGAGGAAAAAAACGCGCGTCGATCCATCGGGAAGAGCCTCGTATAAAACACACGGGGTCAGCGAGAGAGAGAGAGAGAGAGGTTTGTCCTGCGATAAGCAGTCGCGTAAAAATCATCGCCGAGGCAGTTATACGAGGGCGCACTCGCGCCGCGGGAGGGCCTCGACATTCTTTTAGCATCTCTATGAAATCATACTTACGTCTATTCGCGAGGCAACACGAGGGTGGGGGGGGGGAGCAGACCGCGAGACGTGTATACTTTTGACGCCTACTGCCTCGTTGTTATACCGTTTCGAGGGCACCGCGAGAGCGCATTTTCCCTTTCCGCTCCAAGCACGCGGGGGAAAAATTCACCGCACGAGCCGTTTCGCTCTCTCCCCGCTGTACTTATATATATATATACGGGTCTCGTTGTACTCGGGGGATGTCGCTTTGTGCGCCTATATATATATTACGAAGTAGGAGAGCGATTTGCGGTGAGAAAGTGAAAGACGCGCTCTTCCGCGGTACACATAACGGGCGTATGGGTGCTCCTTTCCGAGCGCGACCCGCTGTACTCGTGCAACGGCTGGTTGCCCTGCAACAGGAGCCCAAGCGCACGCCACGCGCTCACGTGCACCGAGGAGCAGATGATGT